AAAGTCAGCAAATGAATGGTGTTGTAGTGGCATGTAAGGCAGCCATGAGGGGTGCTAATAAATTCCAAATTACAGAGGTCTGAAGATCTGCACTGAGCAGTCATGAAGCATTGTTCTTCAGTTGTGTAATTTCATTTCATTAAGCATTTGCATACTAATACAAAGCTCTACTTAAAAGTCTCCCATTGTGAGTGATGGCCAACCACTCCCTCCCTGTCCAGACCTAGTGTTTACTTCCAAGCTCACCCACATTTGCCTTGGAAAAGCCCAAAAGAAGCTTAAATGGTCTCAGCTGCAATAAACCATAAGAAGATTGAGATGAATAATGAACTTAATATGCCATAAAGACAGCTTATTTGCTTTTTTGCCTTTCAAGGTAAGCTCATAGCAATTATAAGAAGAGGGAAATGGGAAGGGGAAAAACCTTCTCAAAGCATAGCAAACTATTTTTAAAAAGAACTCACAATATATGTTATATTTCTTCCAGCTTATTAATTACCAGTGCTCTTGAATAAATATTGCCACATTATGTTTTGTTTTCATTTTGCTTTGTTTAGAATGATTGTGTTCTAAAATTTCAGTGATAAAAGAATGCATCAGTATTTTTGTTCCTGTTGTTAATTGTTTAGCAAACTGATTGATTTTATCAGCGCTGGGCTAAAGTGAGTTTGAAAGAGAAGAGTCCATGTTTTATACTGCTGAATATTATTAAGGAATTGATTGCTGATAGCATTTGAAATGGTAATTTGCCTGCTGTGTGTAGCAGGAAACCAAACAGATTATATTTAATCAAACAGTAGATCATCCAGATTTTCATACTTGTAAGATATCTTACTGATCTGTCAGTGCAGAAAATACTTTTACAGCAATTAAAGTTTCTTTTAAGAGGGAAAGGGAAACTGTATTTTTTATTTTATTAAACATTGTGGTTGAATTAAACTGTATATTTACACTTGAACTCTACATTGAATGTTTAAAAATCGCAGCAGCTTCCATGCATTTTTTTTGAGAAAACAGTCTCATCTCAACAGAAAATTTTATTTAGTAAGTGTTCAAAAAAATTTGAATTAAACTAACTCATTTTAATAGAGTTTTGGCTTAATTTGATTTCTGAGTTTCGAATCTTTCTTTCTCCCAGCAAAAATATAAGGTGATTTAATAACATTGATGCTTTAATGAGCTTGTGGGAATAGTGGTTTTCCTACTGAATTAAAACCAGGAAGTTCCAGATATAAAATGTCACTCTGCACCAAAGCCATTAATATATACAAGCATGTTCTTAGGAGGATGAAAAGAGAACCATGAATACCGATCTGAGTTCCTTGGAGTAAGACCAAGATAGAAATTGGTTACATGCATATGTGTGCGTGAACTTTGAGAATTGATATGATGAGATGTCTGGTTAATTATAATCATAAATATATACAACAGTTATCATCAATATTATGCAATTACAACAATATTATGTTGCAAACTGCCCAGAGAGCTTCAGCTATTGGGTGCTGTAAAATGTAATAGATAAGTAAGTAAATAATGTGAATACTCCAGAAAGCACAATACTCCAGAAAGCACAATACTCCAGAAAGCACAATCAAAGGCCACAGACAATAGTTTGAACAATCTAACCATTAAGAGATTGTTTAGTAGAATTTGGTTTCATATTAAAAATGGATCTGTATTCTGTAGTGCGTTCTGTGGTGAAGCAGGGAAGTGAACAGGAATATCCAACCTGTTAGAATTGCCAGATTGCCTAGTATGAGCAAATATTCGTAAAAGGAGGAACCCCTAGGGGTGCATAAAACTAAGTAGCAGTGACAGTTTTGATGAGCTCCACCACTGATGTACACCACTGCCACTGCCTGCAGGAGAAACATCTCTACACATTCTGTTAAAAAGCACAAAAACGACTGAGTTGTGCCATGCAAACGGGCACTGGCTCCTATAGTTACAACCAACACCAGGACTGTACAATCAGGGACAAGTTTTAAGAATGAATCACACATCTGTAGAACATCCAGCTATTGGACTTCATCCACCTGTCTCCCCTCCCCTCCCCTCAATTTTGTTGTTTAGAATCCCAAATTAAATCAGTTATTCGTCCTGATGTTCCTAATATTCCTCTGCCTTTCTCACTCCCTGTTAAATAAACTCTCTTTCTAACATTTTTATATTGTAATAAGTTACCCATTGGGTGTTCTCTACCCTCTTTCAGGGAGTAGTGGTATTTGGAGGCTGAAGAAACAGCATGATGTTTTAGGACTAAATATTTTCCCTTTCCTGTATCCCATAACCATTCTGTTAATCCACCTCAGTTCCCACTACCACAAAGATGCTTTATATATGCACATTTGGTCGATTCATTGATCAGAATAATCAATAAAGGCCCCTATTTATTGATAGGAAAACCCAAGGAATAGTTTAATTTTTAATGATGATGATGATAATTACATGATTGTTTGCTTATTCATTTGATTCATATGATACCCAGTTAGCTTCTTGGAGGCTTACATAAAATACACAGCTATGTAGCAGCATCTTGGAAGGGGCAGTCCTCTTCTCTGCTATACAGGTTTCTCCCACACCTTTTCCAAAATGAACACCAACTGTAATAGGCATGTTCTAAGATTTGGTCCATCGTCTTTTCAACACCAGGTTAAGACAGCCCTGTTCTCTGAGGCTTTTAAAGATTTACTGAGCCACCCAGGGGCTTGTGAGCTTTTTATTGTCTGTTATTATCTTTTTTAGCTGTTTAAAACTTTTTTAAAAAACTGATTTTCTCATATTTTAATTGTATTTTTATCATCATTTTTGTTTATGGACTCTGTAAACTGCCCAGAGACCTTCAGCTGTGAAACACAGAAACATAGAACATTGAAACAGAGTGAGTCAGAAGGGGTCTCCTGGGCCATCTAGCCTGACCCCCAGCTCCAGCCAGCTCCACTCATGACGTGACTACTATGTGCACCTACCAGGAGGTGGTATAGAAATATAATCAATTCATTATGAGCAGTACCCAATGTACCACTACCACTAACATAATTTAAATTGGCAAGAGTGTTACATTGGAACCTCACCGTTCTTGTGTTTATTTATTATAGAAAATAGGGTGAGGGAGGAATTGGCCAAAATCAGACTTTTACCCAAGTTCTGCCTGTTCCTTCCTATGCTAGCAGCTCCCTGCACCCCATTCAAAGAGGCATTCTGGGTAGCTACAGGGTGAAGGAAAAGATGCGAAACTTGTGAATGTCTTTAGTTCAATTAGGTTAGATTCCAAGTCATGATGTTTTGAGTTGCAAATTGGTACCCTTTCTAAGGTTTCAATTTAAGGATGTCATTTAATGGTGGACAATAGGATCAATACACTTATAAACTGTGATGGATTGTGGTTACTTATATCTCACCTGCCTGAGAAAATGGGAGAGTGAAAGGAGTTTGGGTTCTCCCTTCCCTTCAGGTGGAGTCTGGTAGGTTACAAGTGGTTCCTGGCTGCTAAAAGTATCAGATAAGATATTGAAATGCAGGGCTAATGTTGCCTTGGGATTAGGACTATCTCTATAAGCTATTTGTATCCTGTCTTCTTAGCCTTGGCAATTCATGCCTTCAACTGTTTATTATAAAAGGCACTATACACCTTCAGGTCCTCTCTGAAAGAAACTCCTTTATGAAAGCTACACCACTGGTTTCTTCGATGAGGAAATGCAGTGGAGATTTCCATGGTACAAGCAGAGCGTTTTGCAAGAAATGGGGTGGTCACTTGTCACCAGCTGGTGTTCTGTGTCTGCATCCAGGGTGGCAACATTTCAGAGCATGGTCATTTTGCAAATACTAATTTTGCTTACACGGTAGCTTTCTATAAAACAAATGTATTTTGTATATTTAGAAAGAAGGGGGTTGGCTCCTCTTATGTCAGCACCACATCATCCAGAATAGCAATTTTTGAAACATTCTCACTTAAACAGTAACAAAAGTTTATAGATAGTTTGATTTATTCGATAAAGGGGGACTTTCTTCTTTGGAGAAGGCTGAACAAGCCTTTGTGCAATCACCATGTTCACAGCTAGCTTCACATGAAGCTGTCAAGCACCCACTCACTTCCGAAGACTTCACAGAAGCCACTGCTTCTTAGACTAAATATCTGATCTATCTAAAGATCTAATATCCATTTTTAGATGACAACTCATTCTATGTACAAGCATAGGCTGTATGATTTTTTGGAAGAAAATCCCCATTTTAGCAGAACCACTTTTATAACTTTCTCAAGGCTCAACAAGGCTCATTATGTGATGTCTTTGCCCTGCTGCATCTAACACACCCAAACTATAGTCTGTGTTGTGGGAAATAGCAGGGATGGTTTCAGTCATACATTGGTGGGAATGTCAACACTCTGGACATTCTGGAATATAATTCCTAATCGCTACCAGGAATCTCTCTGCAGTTCTTTCTTAAAGCTGTGCTTCCGCATTTTAAATCTGATGACGCTGTGTTCCTTCATGAAGACTCTCTTAGCAATTGCATAGAGCAGCAATTGTTCTATGCAGTTAACTCAAACCCTCCCAAACAACCTTCTGAACAATAATGGATTTGTAAAATTGGAGACACCACAACTATATATAAACTTACTCTGGAAATGTAAAAAGCAAGCAAGGAAGTTGTTCTGCCATCATGCTTATGAAGCCCATCAAGCTTCCAATCAAATGGTGTGTGTGTGGGTATGTGTGTGTTTGTATTCTGGTGGCAATTTTGATTACAGAAATTTATACATCCCGCTCTCTCAATGCTTAGAGAGTTTCTCAGGTGGTTTTACTCTAGCTGTCCAGCAGGCTCACACATGATGCACTACTCAGTTGGTTTCATTTTCCTCTTAATTACTGGTCTTTTATATTGTTGCATGCTGTATTTTCTGTAGCCTTTTAAAACTTGATTTGAAAATAAAATCCCATTTTGAAGTGGTGGGCAATGGTAAATTAAATATTTAAAGTGCCTTTTGCTTTTCACTGCAGGTTCCCCAGGATGAATGGTCTGGGTATACTCCGCGTGGCAAAGATGATGAAATCCCATGCCGGCGAATGCGAAGTGGCAGTTACATCAAAGCCATGGGAGACGATGACAGTGGGGACTCTGACACCAGCCCAAAGCCATCTCCCAAGATTGCAGCACGAAGGGAAAGCTATCTCAAGGCCACCCAGCCATCACTTACAGAACTCACCACCCTCAAGTAAGACATTTTTAGGAAAAGATGTCATCGTGAGTGAAATTCAAACATCATATTTCTGCACTTGCAAATATGGGGGTGGGCAGGTGTGGGAACAGGAGGTACCAACAACAGTGTTGCAAACCCTGGTGCTTTGCCTTGGTATAAATGTTTCCAATGGGGTGCCTTAATCCCTTGCCAGATTGTGGAGCTGGTATTTGACACTTTCTGAAAGTTGTATATTTCTCCAAGCAACGCACATTGTTAGAGAAGTCAGATCAGATCAATCTATTTCAGCAGACCAGCTCAGATGATGATGCGCTTTTTGGGTGATACAGGTCATATAGGTAGCTGAGCTTGCTAACTTCAAATTGCTACACCTTGATGACTTGCATGGAAGATATAAGTGTTGGTTGTTTTTGTGGTTCTCCACTGGATTCATCCTCTAGGACTCTGTGTGCCATTCCCATTGGAAGTCCAGTTGGCTGGGGCACAGGATACAGAGCATTTTAGTTGCATTGCCCAGATTGTGGAATTCCCAAAGTTGGAAGACATAGTTTGCTTGCTCTTTGTTGGCTTTTTGGCAATCTGACAAAAGCTCTCTCCCCAAAGATACCCATGTCTTTAGTTAATTTAATTTCCCCTCACACATATCATCAGTTAGGTTTTTAGAAGGCTTTTTAAAGGGTCTGATTCATTCTTTTATTTTACACTGTACTGTGATTCTAATTTATGATTGGTATCTGCCTTGCGGGGGCATGTGAAGCCAAAATGTGGAATAAAATATAAAGAAAATAATGTGTGTTAAGGTGTATAGACAGAAGATTTTTTTCAAATGCTGTACTTTTATCCCTAATGACAAATATTCAGGAAAGCCAGCATATCCCTTCTGGTATATGAAAATGTGAACTGTCTCCTGTATCAAAAATGTATACAAGACAAGGCCTATGGGTTGCATCCAGAATACCCCTGGAAACTCCTAGATAATGAGTTCTTTTAGGAAGAGTTATTGTTAAGTTAATAGCATATGGCATCTTCCATACAATGAGGATGAAATCTTGGAAAGATTCATTTGGCCTTCAGGCCTAATATTGCTTGCTTCATATCTGTAACCATTGTCTCTCTAAACTAAGATAGCTGCTTTCTAACCATTGTTCATTTTCATAGGCAAGACCAGCACAAGGCATTTTCCTGACTGAGGCAAAAGTTAGAAGCTATAGGATCCATATTTCAACACTTGCAATGGGACAGCATGTTCCTAAGAGCAGTATGGGGAGCTCAGGGTAGTCCTTGTGGCCCACAAAGCTCCGTCGTCCAAAGCTTCACCATCAACCTCTGCCACACCTTCCCCAGCAACCAATACTTGAGGCAGCCAACTCAACCTCCTTAGTCACAGGGCTGTCCATTGTCATAAGTTACTGCAGAGTTTGCATAGTTATGGATGTTTTCTTCTAGAACATTGAAAATCAGAATGTTCTCCAGGTTTTCTTATATAGCTTGAAGTCCATTTTGACAGACATGGTAGCCAGAAATGTTCAGCAAAAAGCTATGTGTGGAATCCTTGCATTATTTCAATGATAACTTGACTATAACATAAAAGTATAACATTTGGAGGACCACTACCCCAATATGATGTGAGCTGTGCTCTTTGGTGGGAATGCACAGTACACCTACTGTAAGTGCTTAAATGAATCATGGGGGTGCTGAATTTACTTTGCTGTCTTTTCTAGATGCAGTGTAAAGTGCCCCATCAATAATCCTTGGATCAATGAAAGTGCATTTATTTGTGGAAAGCCACAACTTAAACATACAACTAAGCACACCGTGCTCAGAGTAGATTCTAAGGAAGTCAGATAGTCTAAAGAGAAGAAGCATATACTGAAGCTATGACTGGAGGGGAAAACTTACTTAATCTTTATATTCGATATTAACTTTGGATTCAGACAGCTTTCCTGAGGCTAATACTGTGCCTGATAAGGTCCTGCTGTGCCTCTCCTGCTGATCTCAAAGGATGGGCCAAATGCTCATGACTTTCTTATAGAGCCTTCTAAACCCACAGGGGATGGAATTTCTCTTCCCACCTGGTAGTCCCACATTTCTGTGCTTACAATTGCTGTAAGAGCTTGGGGGGAGCGGGGAGGGTGCATTATTGTGCACTGTTCTGCCTGCCATTTTAAAATTATTTTTAATTTAGACATGAGAAAAGAAGCCATGTTGACCTCATTATTCCCTTCCCTGCAAGGAATATTTTCCTACTCCGAGTTCCAAAGACCGTACTTTCTCCACCCATATAATTGTTGCCAGTGCTCATTCTTTTCTGCAAGACAGAGTTTTGTTGTCAGCTCCCCTTTTTTGAGTATAAAACCAGAGCAGTGCTATGATCACCTTATGTAAAGAGAAGCTTATGTTCCTTTTTCTCCTGATTTTTCCACCGCCCTTACCATATCTCACAATCTTCCTCCTACAAGCTGCTACCCCTGCCATGGTTTCCATGTGGTTACAGAACACATTTTGAACATTGCAGTTAAAATTCTGAATAAAACACAGCTTGCTGTGATCATGAAATCCACACCTCCGCTGCTCTACTCCCATTATTCTACTAGGAAGTGAGAAGCTGTTTCTTTCTTCATATGGCAAATTTTGCTTGTTTTTTAATCATCGTCAAGCAAGTAAAACTGTTCCAACTAAAATGTATTTTATGCCCAGGATTCCAGCACTTAGTTACCATGAAAAAAAAAAAAGAATTATCCTGCTTTTAAATAAATGAACCAACATGTTAACCAGCTTTAACAAACTCATGTTGCAAACTGTTGCCTTGAAGAAATGGAACCTTCCTAAATAGGTCCTTCCTAAAATATGAATTTTAGGAATAATAACTTTCTAGGAGATAATGTGCATTCTAGATGTTTGAGGAGCAGAGCTGTAGTATTATAATATTATATTATATTACTACTACTCAGTGCTTTTTTGTAAAAAAAAAAAAAAAGGTACCGGAACTCATGTCCCCAGCGGAACTCACGTCCCCAGCGGCAGTAAGCACACACACCAATCCCAAGCAGAAGCAGTGGAGCAGCATCCCAAGCAGCTATCTCTCACTATCAGATAGCAGACACAATAGCAGCCTGCAGGCACTATGTTAATGATGTTTGCTGCTGATCTGCTACTCTGTTCAAAATCACTTCAAAAAATCCATTGAAAAAAAGGTGCCAGAACGCCGTTTCGGTGCATTCTATGACAAAAAAAAGTCCTGCTACTACTACTATCTATTCAGTCTACAGAAGTATTGTTACATGTGGATAAAGCAACAGATTGAATATCAGAAGGTAATTGAAAAAATATAGGTTGTAACCAGTTCAGGGAAGTGCATGCACATCATGAATTGGATCCCAAGGTACTCTTCCATATGTAGAAGGTGGTTTTTGCTCATGGTTTGTCTGGTTTGCACCTCATGCTAGCACGTTGCATGAAAAAACAGAACTAAATTCAAAGATGGTCTGCCTGTCTGAAAACTCATACAGCTGCTTGTGCAAGCAAGGGCATGAGAACATAGCCTTTTTTGAAAATGTTCTCCTGACAGTTTTAGAAATTGGATCTGTTTCTATCAGGCATCCAGAAGTTAGTAAATTTGGTTCCAGTTCGGTGTTACAGGAAAGCCTATTCCACCACAAGGGCACCACCACAGAAAAGGCCCTTTCTCTAGTTGTCATTACTTTTCACTTCTGACTACAGCAGTGCTTACAGCACTGCTTGTATGAGAGCAGTGAACAAGGGTAGCTGGAGTGCCCCCAGAACAGCAAGAGCCCAGAGCCTCACCTCATGTTTCCAGCCACGTCTGCCTATCCCAGACTGGGTGCCTTCTCACAGAATGGTAAGCCTTGGAACTGGAAACCCTGGCTCACAATAAATACTGAGTGCAGACCCTTCTTTCCCACTAGGTTCTTCCCCCGGGTGGGACTGGTTAATCTAACCAGAAGTGGCTTGTTTAGTGTGTCACCTGAAACTGGGATCCTAGCTTGCTGCTCTTAGTGCAAATGAGGATTCTTAATGCCAAAAAGAAACTCTTTGTAACCCAAGAACAAACCAGCACACAGCTTAGAATTATAGAATTGGAAGGGGCCAGAAGGCCATTGGTCCAACCCCTTGCTCAGTGCAGGGCTCCAAGTTAAACCATCCTTCTCAGATGGCTTTCCAGCTGCCTCTTGAATGTCTCCACTGTGGAAGAACCCACATCCTTCCCAGGTAATTGGCTCCATGGTCGTACAGCTCTAACATTCAGGAAGTTCTTCCTGATGTTCAGCCGAAACCTGGCTTCCTGTAACATAAGTCCATTATTCTGTGTCCTGAATTCTGGAATGATCAAGAAGAGATGCTGTCTGTCCTCTTTGTGACAGCCTTTCAAGTAATATCATCCCTCAGTCTTCTCTTCTCAAGGCTAAGCGTGCCCAGTTCTTTTACCCTCCCCTCATGGGGCTTTATTTCTAGTCTCTAGATCATCTTTCCAGTTTGTCTGCATCTTTCTTAAACAGTGGTGCCCAGAAATTGACACAGTGCCCCAGATGAGGCTTAACCAGTGCTGAGTAAAGGGGAACTAATTACTTCACATGATTTGGAAGTGATACTAATATTAATGTGGCCTAAAACAGCATTTGCCCTTTTTGCAGCTACATCACATTGTTGACTCATTTCCAGCTTATGATCTACAACAATTACAAGAACCTTCTCACTAGTAGTATTCTTGACCCAAGTATTCACTAACATGTAATGATGCATTTGGTTTCATTTTCCTAGGTGCAGAACTTGATATTTGTCCCTACTGAATTTCATTCTGTTGTTTTCAGCCCAGCGTTCCAACCTAACAAGACCACGTTGGATCTTCTTTATGTCTTCCAGGGTGTTAGCCATCCCACCAAGTTTTATGTCATCTGCAAATTTAATAAGTCTTCTGCACACTTCGTCATCTAAATCATCAATACAAATGTTGAAGCATACTGGGCCCAGGTCTGAACCCTGTAGTACATCTCTTG